CAAAAATACAAAAATTAGTCCAGCGTGGTGGCCCGCACCTGTAATCCCAGTTACTCAGGATGCTGGGGCATGAGAATTGCTTGAGCCCAGGAGGAGGAGGTTGCAGGGAGCCGAGATTGCACCACTGCACTGGAAACAGAGTAAGACTTCATCTCAAAATAAAACAAAACAAACAAATATGTAGTTACTTGTGGGATTAATTATAAAAACAGACAATAGATGTGGAAGCACTCTGACAAAGTTAAGAAGACCCCAAAAAGAGAGATATTTTTATTCTTAGCATCTTTTTTTTTTTTGGACTTGTTTTTGTTCTAATGTAACCCTCAGGTAAATGACAGCCAGCCTTCCTAACTAGGGGGTAAGTTTGGCTCAAACAAGTTATTACCCATTGCCCTGCCTGTGTCTTCAGACTTAGTGAATGAAATCTCCTATCTGTGGCAGGGACCCTCTCCACTCATCTTTTATTGGATTCTTGAGTAAAGTTTGTTTTTCATCTCAGTTACTTTGCCTCCTTTTTATAAGGAGTCTACTCTGAGATCAAAGACAACCTATAGCAATTTATGAGAAATGAAGGAAGTGGGAGAGAGATGCTAAGTTACTTTAAGGAGTGTTCTGAAATCATCAATCTAGCTGGAATAGCTGGTGTCTGCTGTGTTCAGAAGAGCTGGGGCAAGGTACCGCTTTTTGGTGTGGGGAGAGGGACATGAGAGCTTGCTCTTTGGAACATCGGCCTTCATGCCAAGTCTGATGGGTGCTTCCTAATGCCGAATGAGCCTCGGAGTCACCTGGGTTCCTTTTAATTTAAAAATGTATTTTTAAATTTTTGTGGGCACATAGTAGGTATATATATTTGTAGGGTACATGAGATGTTTTGATACAGGCAGGCGATTCATGGAGAATGGGGTATCCATCCCCTCAAACATTTATCCTATGTGTTACAAACAACCCAATTACACTCTTTTAGTTATTTAGAAATGTACATTAAGTTGCTATTGACTATAGTTGCCGTGTTGTGCAATCAAATAGTATGTCTTACTCATTTTTTTTTTGGTACCCATTAACCATCGCCACCTCCCTCTAAGCTGTCTCTTATACACATCTAGATGTGTATAAGAGACAGCTCCCGAGTAGCTGGGACTACAGGCACAGGACAGCACTCCTGGTTAATTTTTGTATTTTTAGTAGAGACAGGATTTCACCATGTTGTCCAGGCTGATCTCCAACTCCTGAGCTGGTCCTCCCACCTCAACCTCTGAACGTGCTGGGATTACAGGTATGAGCTACCACACATGGCTACCTGGGTTTCTTTTGAATGATGCAGATGGCTGGGCCTTACTTAAATGATTCAACAGGTCCCTAGTGAGTCCAAGGTTTCGTATCTCAAAGTGTTGCAAGTGTCTGGAGGCTCAAACAGCCTTGAGGATCACTGATGTATGTCCCTGATGTCTAGCAGTCTCTTTAAGTCGGTCCTCTTCCCTACGAATAAGCTTATATTTTTCAACGGACTCCTAAATAAGTCCTTGGTTAATCCTGAGTCTGGTGCATTCACTGGCAAAGAACAAAGAGAAAATTTACAAACATAAGAAGGCCTCAGAAGTCAGACTACATAAATTATTTTGGAAAAGGTTTTTCCTTCTTGTATGATTTTCAGAGGGACTTTGGGAAAAACACACACACACACAGAGTCTGGGAGACAAAGTAAACAGGAAAGAAAAGATTATCTTTTATTGCTTGACGGTTTAAGTGAAAAAAATTTTATTTCAAAAAATATTTTGACTCCCCCTTTTTTCCCTTTAGAAGTGCATCAAGCTATTTTTAGGAGGGCAGGGTGGCTGGTTTTGGGGGACAAATGAAAGCATGACATCACCATGCTATTTTGGTAGAGCAAGAAGAGAAACATGCCAGGCTAGGTCGGTTTGGGCTTGGTTCTGTGTATTTAGGAGCTGAATTGAGTCTTTTTCTAATTTGGTTTCTCTCAGAGCTGTGGCTCTTCACTGGAGACTGGAAGCATAATATTTATTCAAAGCTAATTTGTAAACTTCATTTTCAGTTGAAGGTCTGGAATTGAAACTGCTATTGTGATCTTAAGGGCTGTAACCCAGAGAATCTGCTTCTTCCTGGAGTATTTCAGCAGGGATCAGGTTTGCAGACTCAGGGGCCCCAGTGAGAAACCTGACTGCCTGGTCTATTTTAGGTCACATGTGGGGTATCAGTTTGGAAAGCAAATCCTTAACTTGGACTTTTTGTTGCTGATAAGGGCTTTGCGGCTAGCAAAGAGGTAGCTTTCTCACTTATTTAGATTTTGCAGTGGAATCTCTCCCTGCACGTGTATTATTGTCAGTAACTCCTATTTTCCCCAGAGAGGTTTTGAAATGTTCTTTCTGAATGTTCATATGTTTGTAACTTTTCTCAAGTGGAGCTCCTCCTTCCTAAAAAATATTCAGCTTGTTCAAGAAGTCACCCCCCTCCCCCCCCCAGACAAAAGTACACCTTTGTGTGCATCTGTTAAGCCTAAGATGTCTGAGATGGTTGTTTTCTAAAACTAACTCACCGATTGCTTTATCATTAAAAGCAGCATTTTACTCCCATGTTCCTAACCTATTTATGGGTCTGTGATAGATGGTTATTTTTTTGGCAAGCTTGAGATAAGCCTGGGTCAAGGAAACAGCTTGCCTTCGTCTCTTTAAGCCTCACTCATCCTTGCCATATCATTTCATGATTTCCTTTCCTGTTATCTTCAAACATTCCCTCAAAGCAGAAATTGACAAGAGCGAGGAGGTTGGGAAAGGGCTGGCAAAGCAGTTGTTTTTCTTCGTGTTCTAAAATGAACCTTTTCCTTCGCCCACAACCCCCCACTCCCACCCCACTTGCAACCTTTCTTTTTTATTACCCACCCCTGGGTCTCTCTCTAAAGATGATGGAAAAAAGTTAAGAACTCCTTTCCTTCTTTAAAGAAGGGTCTCTAAGAGGTTTCTAATCAGCTCACTGTCAGCCTGTTTCCTCTGATCAGCTTAAATGGGTCCACTTGAAGTTCACAACTGCCAAAACCGCGTGTTCAGACTGAAAGGCTGGGAGCATTTGAGACGCATTTATGAACTTCCACCAAGATTATCGGCAGGCTGAAATCGCAGGGAGAGCGCCTGTTCAACAGACCCTTTCTTCTTGATTACATTAGTGTTGTCCACTAACAGGATGAGGAATTCCCATTCCACAAGCTGCCTTTTTCTCCTCTTTCTACCTCCCGCCTCCCTCCATTAAAATGTAAACTTGATTCCTGTGTCCTTTGCCGGAGCCTGGCTTCCCTGTAAACCCATCATAAACATCTTGGTAGAAATGAAACTTTTAACCTCTCCTTGATGGTTTTCTGTCTAACTTTATACATGAGGAAAAAAAAATGGTGAAAGACGTTATCTCTGGCGGGTGCAGGCGTGTAGGGGCAGGAAGTTTCTGCACTGTGGCTGCTCTGGTCCTTTCGTAACCGAGGTTTTCCTGTCCTGTCCTTCAGCAAAGAATGGCTTTGTTAACCATTAGCCACTGACAAGAGTGTGTCCATTTCAGCAAAATTAATAAGAGATAGCATTTTTCTTCCTTCTAAATGGCCCATGTCAGTAATTAACATCGCCTTTCATTACTCAACTTGAAAGCGCCTTCTCGGCCTCCCTCTGACCTTGCCCTGGCTTTGTTAAACTGTGGCCTCCAGCCTGTGAGAGACCTACATGCAGAGAAAGTGCTGTGACCGAGATGCCTTGAAAGAATCATTCGACAAATATTTATTGAGTGTCTACTGTGTGGGGCTACCAAGTTGAATCGGGCATAAACTCTGACGGAGGGAAAAAAAAAAAAAACAAGAAAAAAAAAAAAAAGGTTTTTTTTTTTTTTTTTTTTTTTTTTAAATAGCCCTAAGATAACATAACAGATAATGATAGTTACCCCAGGACAGGAGCAGATCCCGTGTTGTGGGGGCCTGGGCTAAGATGGCGGAGGGGGAAGTGGGTGAAAGTTTTACGGAAAAGGGGACAATTGAGAGAAACATTATAATGGAGTTCAGAGCAAAAAGGGAATATAAAAGTTCAAATGAGCTTTCCTTACTCTTTAGGGAATGAGGGAAAGTGTACCTTCATAGAGAATAAATGTGTAAAGCTGAAAAGAGAACTTTCCCCCTTCTTGGTTGGTTGTTTGAATGAGCCAATGAGGAGTTTGCCGTTGAAACGTTAATAATTGCACTAAAGTCTAGTTTGGCCAACCCTCACCCAAAAGTGTATGAAATATTTTCCTGTTATGTTTTCCCCGCCAGGAGAATTCTTGGTCACAGGGGTAGAAGTGTCACTTTAGGGTGAGTTGAATTAGACTACGTTCTTCATAACCACGAACTCCATTGTTCATGGAGCCACCAGGAAAAGCCCAAATGCCTAGGAGGAAAGAATCGGTGGAAAAAAATATGGTGCAGCATCGGATGGCATCTACTTGCAAACACGATGGCAAAGATTTTTAATGGTTTGTGAAAAAGCAAAAATGGCGTATTCTTATTTTTGTGAAGAACATGAATATATTCATATTGAGAAGTACAGACTAGAAGACTAAACATTAACATGTGAATAATAGTTATTGGTGGGTGCTGGAGAAACAAATGATTTGTCTGTTTCTTCCCTGTGATTTTCAGGATTTTCCAAAATGTTTACAATGCACAGGTGTTACTTTTGCAATCAGGTAAAATGCTATTAAAGAAAAATGACGCAGGCCGGGCGCGGTGGCTCACGCCTGTAATCCCAGCACTTTGGGAGGCCGAGATGGGTGGATCACGAGGTCAGGAGATCGAGACCATCCTGGCTAACACGGTGAAACCCCATCTCTACTAAAAATACAAAAAAAAAAAAAATTAGCCGGGTGTGGTGGCGGGCACCTGTAGTCCCAGCTACACGGGAGGCTGAGGCAGGAGAATGGCGTGAACCCGGGGGGCAGAGCTTGCAGTGAGCAGAGATTGCGCCACTGCACTCCAGCCTGGGGGATAGAGCTAGACTCCGTCTCAAAAAAAAAAAAGAAAAAAGAATAATGATGCTGAGGGAAAAAAAGACTTATTTATTAAGGTGAGAATTTAAATGTAGAAAATTATGCAAATGGCTGGGAGAATTCTTTCCCTTGCCATGTTGAATGCCATCAGTTTTAAAACCAGAAAAACTGCACAACCCTCCAATCAGAACCGAACATGGGAGTCTGTTTTAAGTAACAATGACTGTCATTCAAGAAACTAGATGGGAGATTTCCCTTTTAGCTAAAAATTTGTCAGTTGATTTTTTAAAGATATTCTTGCAGTGAAAGAATCATTTCTCCTTGTCTCAGGTGGAATGTGGCTCTCGTAGATTTTGGCTTCTGAGTTATTCAAGGGTCAAAAATTTACTACAAGGTTGTCCTGATTACTTTTTTTTTTGGTAAATTCTTTGTTATTGTACTCTTGTTCAAGCCTAAAGATACAAAAATCTAAAGGCCAGCTATTCATCTAATTATGGCCTTCACAAAATAATAGATACAAATAAAGAGGTTTCTTGTGCATAAAGGAACAACAAGAAACCTCTTTATTTGTATCTATTATTTTGTAGTTTTCTGCTGCACAAATGGCATAAATCAGAAGTTATTTATTTCACAATTGGTAGCAAGCCTGCAAAGTCGCCCAGATTGTGATGCAGTTGTCTGCCGATCCTAAGCAGAGGAAACAGCTTCTGCTTTCATTCAAATCCTGGGCCCAGCTATTTGCAATAGAAAAGCTAAGTTGGATGTGGGGGTGGGATGGAGGTGACAGAAGGCAGAGAAATGGGAAAAATGCAAACCTGTAGTTCAGGTTAAAATGGGTTTCCAGCTTCTTTTGGCATTTTGTATCATTTATGCCTCACAGTTTGAAAAGCAACAACCACCCCGCGGGTGCCCCTCCCCCAGGCCTGGATTGTTTTCTTTGGTTATCTGAGTCATTCAGAATTGTGGGGCAGAAAACACATAAACACAATGAGAAATGCTGTTTGCCATGAGCACGCAACTTTTATAACTGTTTTGGGCCTTGAAAGAAGGTTCCTTCCTTTTCTCCTTCCGAAGACTCAAAAAGAAAAAAGAAACTCAAGAAAATACTTCTGTCTTTACGATAAAAAGTTTCATGTCCTGTCTGTCCCTGGCAGCCGGAAAGAACATAGTTGCTGGCTGAGAAGTCAGAGGTGACTTAGGGAGAGAAGCGCAGCCCCAGAGCGGAAAGGCTGGCGGTCAGTAAGGGATCACATGGTCTCCACTAAACCTAGGCTTGGGGCAGGAGCGGAGTGGGGAGGGAGAAGGGGAGCGGGACCTGATTGACCTTGTCCTTGGGAGTCTCAGGAATGTGAAGGAACAACCCCCTTCGAAACTGTTTTGTACCAACTAGTGTCCCAGATACTTAGAAATATTTTCTTCTTCCTCCTCACCTTGTTTCCTGGGAGTTTATAGGAAACCCGAATTTAAAAGGTGAACAAAAGCGAAAACCTAATCAGGTAGGTGGGAGAAAGATAATACGGATAATGCACTGGAGGCTTGCTAAGGTTGACCAAGCAAGTTAACTCTGAACTTCACAGCATCAAATGCAAAACAGGGGGGTGAGTTGGCAGGTGAGTGGAGGAAGGGGACCCACAGTTGTGTATTTTTGGTTTTTTGTGAGAAAGATGGCATGACCACAGGAAGAGAAAAGTGTTGACCACCACTCAATAGAAAATTCTCCTGTGTTAGTAGGAGACACTTGAAACGTGGTTGAAAATGTACTAGGAGACGTTTCTAAGTGCTTTGCTTTGCTTTTCCTTTAAACTTTTTGGCCTTCTCTGTCCATTCGACCTTGGTTATTAAAATTTATTCTCTGATATTTCATCCTATAGCTTCTTGTATAGATATGAACATAGGAAACTCAATCATTTGTCTGTATCCCTACAGAAGACTTTTTTTTTTTGGAGATGGAGTCTCGCTCTGTTGCCCAGGCTGGAGTGCAGTGGCACGATCTTGGCTCACTACAACCTCCACCTCCTGGGTTCAACTGATTCTCCCGCCTCAGCCTCCCGAGTAGCTGCGACTAGAGGTGCCTGCCACCATGCCTGGCAAATTTTTATATTTGTAGTAGAGATGGGGTTTCACCATGTTGGCCAGGCTGGTTTCAAATTCCTGAACTCAAGTGATCCACCTGCCTTGGCCTCCCAAAGTGCTGGGATTCCAGGCTTGAGCCACCATGCCCCGCCAACAGTAGACAATCAAAATTGTCAGAGGTGCTTGAACTAAAGTGACTCCATCTTGAATAGAGACTGGGTAAAATGAGGCTGACACCTACTGAGCTGCATTCCTAGAAATAAAGTCTTTCTAAGAAATAAAGACTTTCTAAGTCACAGGGTGAGATAGGAGGTTGGCACAAAGTACAGGTCACAAAGACCTTACTGATAAACGGATGCGGTAAAGAAGGTGGCCAAAACCCACCCAAACCATGACGGAGAGAAAAGTGACCTCTGGTCGTCCTCACTGCTCATTATATGCCAATTACAATGCATTAGCATGCTAAAAGACACTCTCACCAGTGCCATGACAGTTTACAGATGCCATGGCAATGTCTACCTTATATAGTCTAAAAAGGGGAGGAACTCTCAGTTCTGGGAATAGTCCACGCCTTTCTGGGAAAACTTATTAATTATCCACTCCTTGTTTAGCATACAATCAAAAAAAACCATAAAAATAGCCAACCAGCAGCCCTTGGGGCTGCTTTGCCTATGGGGTAGCCATTCTTTTATTTCTTTACTTCTTTAATAAACTTGCTTTTCACTTTACTCTGGGTTTGCCTTGAATTCTTTCTTGAGAGAGATCCAAGAACCCTCTCTTGGGGTCTAGTTCGGGATCCCTTTCCAGAAACAGAATTGCAATACCCCACATGGTAAGCATTTAACAAACGCCTGTTGAGTGAATGGGTGAAAAATTAGTAACTCAATGTACCATCAATAAACAATTAGAGACAGTCTTGAAAATATTTTAAGTGGGGTGTGGTGGTTCATGCCTGTCATCCCAGCACTTTGGGAGACTTGATGTAGGAGGAGCACTTAAGGCCAGTAGTTCCAGGCTGCAGTGAGCTATAATCACATCAGTGAACTCCAGAGTAAGACCCTGTCAACAAAAAAGAAAAGAAAGAGAAAGTATTTTAGTTATGGTGGTAAAAGAATTGACTCTGAAAGAAAGGAAATAAAGGAAAGAAAGAAAGAAAGAGAAAAAGAAGAAAGGGAGGGAAGGGAGGATGGAAGGAGAGAGGGAGGGAGGAAGTAAGAAAGGAAGGAAGGAAGGAAGGAAGGATTTTAATTATGGTGGTA